TTCTTCCCTCCCTCCCTCCCTTCTTTTTTCCTTGTTTCGTTCCTTCCTCTTTTCCTTTCTTCTTCCTACCTTTCTTCCTATCTATCTCCTTTCCTTCCTTCGTATTTACCTTTTCCTTCCTTCTTTTCCTCTTCCTTCCTTCTTTTCCTCTTCCTTCCTCTTTTCCTTCCTTTTCTTCCCTCCCCTCTTCCTCCCTCCCTTTCTCCCTTTCTTCTCTTCCCTCCTTTCTATCACTCGTCCTTTCTCCTTTCTTCCTCCCTCTTTCTTTCCTTCCTCTCTTCCTCCTTCCTGCATTCTTTCCTCCCACCGGAAAACTGGAGACTCCTGCTAATCCAACCAATCGATTTTCTTCCGCAGAGGGAAGGGTCTTGGCATCACGCTGGCTTTGGCCTCTCTTGGAGGGCTGAGCGCCCCGCTGTTGCGGGTACGAGAACAGCACGGCTCCTTCCTCGAACACATCGTCCTTGCCTCCCTCAACATCCTGGCCCTGCTTTGCCTGCTCTTGTTGCCCGAGACCAAACGCAAACCCTTGCCCGAAAGCCTGCACGACGGAGAACTTTATCGGAGACCTTCGCTGCTCCGGCGGGCTGGCGAGACCGGGGGCCGGGACTCCGATGGTGTGACCCGGCGAGACGATGTACCCTTGCTCTCTACCCCCAACCCCACCAGCTGATCCCGTGGTGGGCTTGGTTTTGGCCTCGACGGGTGGGCTCGTCCAATGACCTCAAAAGGCCGGGGGCGGGGGGAGGCCAGGAGGGGACTTTTTCTGCTTTGGATGTTGCACGAAAGGAATCATTTCGGCTGCACCAGCAGCAAAAACTCATTTATTTAAACGGGCGGACTAAATTGGAAACTAGGATTCATAGCTAGTTGCCCCAGAATTAGCTAAAAGAGTCTTTCTCAACGTCGCGCACTTGAAGATCTGCAGACTTCAACTCTTAACTGCCTGTTGCCTTTTTTAAAATTTGCGTTGCAAACTTCAGGGTAGTTGAGTGGCGTTCTCCCCCCCACTTCCTTAATAATTACTGTAATTATGTTAATTTTCATTTTTTCTTCACTAAGATGGATACCATGTTTCCCTGAAAATAAGACCTATCCGAAAAAATAAGCCCTAGCATGATTTTTACACATGCACCCAATGTAAGTCCTATCCCCAAACTAAGCCCTAGTTAAGACCCTGCCCATTCAGTTGACCCTGGTTGTCCTGCGCCAGCTTACCTTAGGGCAGTTACAGCTGGGCCTCCCACGCCCCAACACTTGCCTCACCTTGCCAGCCAACTTGCCACTTGCACGTTTTGCTATTAGAGGCCTCCATTTCACTGTCGGAGGTCTTTTTTTGAGGGCCTCTGCAACCGAGAAACGAGCTCCAGGTTGAAAGGCCTCTGGTAGCGAAACTGAGGCCAGGGGGGTGCCATGCCCAAGCAGCAGCAAGCAGCTGCAGAAGAAGTGGGCCAGCAGTGGTCACACGGTTATTAGTGCCACCACCTCCTCTCTTATCTGAAAATAAGACCTAATGCCTCTTTTGGAGGCAAAAAAAATTAAGACCAGGTCTTATTTTCGGGGAAACACGGTTATTATATGCCCTTGGGGGTCTTGCGGCTTGCCTTGAAAATAACAGAAATCAAATAACAGACACAAAAAGATAGTCCTAGACTTAGGAACCATAATGGAGCCTGGAATTATGGTCGTAAGTTGTGACAGTCATTAAATGAGTCATCACATGATTGACTTGATTTTATGACATTTTTGCAGTGCTCACTAAGCAAATCATGGTTAAGGGAACCACCACGGTGGTTTAGAGAATCTCTGGTCATTAAGTGAACCATCAGGATTGTGAAGCAAGCCAATTGTCCAACCATTTTTTTCCAGAAAACGACCAGGGAATTCTGGGAGTTGAAGTCTGTACATCTTCAAGTGCTTCTGGTCGACAAACACTGACTTTGGGAGCAGCAAGACTTCTGATGTACCCACTACCCCCTTTATTCGAGAGACGAATTGAAAATTTAAATTTAAGGCCGAATCAAACCGGCAGACGAATCTCCACGGACTTTCAAGGAGAAAGAGAGAAAAATCTTAGAAAATGTTCTCTCCGGAAGAAAATTTTCATACCCTTTCTGCTTTCAGCAACAGAAAGATTTTTGGGGCTTACGCGCTGAAAGTTCCTTGGTGAAGGGCTGTGTGCAGGGGTGCGATTCAACCAGTGTAACAACCGGTTCACTTGAACCGGGCTTAACTGGTAGAATCCCACCCCTGGCTGTGTGCCGAAATGCTTAGCTAGGAGGTCGGGCTGAATCTCCGGTTTTTAAAATCCATCTCGGATTTTTTCTTTTCTTCAAGGGACGATTTGGGTTTGGTGGAAGACCATTGTTTTTATTTCCATTTTACCAATGTTAAGACAGGGGAATTAGGGCCCGGGGGGTTCTGTGGACTGATGTCTTAAGACGGGATCCAAGGGCTTGACCTATGCATTCGTCTCGTTTTCAATATAATTGTGTCCATGACACAGTTTTTGCAAAGGGCTCACGTTGGGACGTTGGACCAGAGGTGACCAAATCCCAAAGACTAATCTTAAAGACTTATTTTCAAATGCACAATTTTTCTTCCCTCCCCGAAAGAAATCGACGGCTAGATCGGGAAGAGCAATGTTCTTCGTTGCTTTTCTTGACGGACAGCGAGCTTGATCTGGGCTCCCAAAATGTCTGATCGGCATATTTGGCTGATAAATTCTTCATTTAAGCTCGCAGCAAAGAGAAATGGGACTAGGAATCTTCGCTGTATACAGAGATGACTTTAGCGGCCGGTGCCCCACCACCAAACCTGGAACATACAGGTAGTCCTCGACTTAACGACCAAATGTCTGCAGCTAAGTGAGAGTTCAGAGTTCTGCCCCATTTTCCAACCTTTCTCGCCACGGTTAAGTGAATCCCGTGTCAGGGTTTCAACAGGTGCCCTCATTAAACAGTGGTTCAGTCGGTAACACGGCTGTTCAGTGAATCTGGCTTCCCCCTTGACGCTGCAACCGTCATAACTGTGAGTCAGTAAGCTCATAGTGAATTTTGATCACCATGACCATGGAGAGGCTGCCACGGTCATAAGTGAGGAAAATGTTACTTAGTAGGGCTTAGTCGGAACTTTGGTCACTAAACCCACTGTTGTAAATCAAGAGCTTCCTATATATACCTTTTTTAAACGGTTGGAAATCATTTTGCGGGGGGGGGGGGGAGCGGAATTAATAGCGGGTTTTACTATCAATAGAGATGAGGGCTGAAGTAATGACACCGCATCACACCCAGGGAAGGACCACTCAGGCCGACGCACACACGCGTGTGCAAACACTACCCCTTTTGCTCCCCTGGGAGTTAAAACATGCAAATCTAATAGGCTCAAAATTTTTTGGACCGCTTTGTAATCTTAAAAGGGAAATAAAACACTGTTAATAAGCTCAATAAAAGGAAATATATAATCATGTGGAAAACCCTGGCTGAGCTTTGGAATTTCTGTTAGAGCAGTACCAGATAAAGACTGTATTATATTGCATCCAATTTTGGTTGCCAAGATATATAAAAAAAAATGTTAACTCTGGAAAGTGTGCAGGGGACTGGAGGTTAAAACTACAAAGAACAGTTGTAGGAATTGGGTATGGCTATTCTAGAGAAAGGACGGATTTGGGGGTGACATAGTATTTCAGCATTTGGGAGGCTGCCCCAAAGAAGAGGGGGTCCACCTCCAGATGGCAGGATAATAATGGATGGAAACTAATCAAGGAAACAAGAAACTTATACTAAGGAGAAATATCCTCACAGAACAATTAACCAGTGGAACTGCTGGCCACCAGAAGTTGTGGGTGCTCCATCACTGGGTTTTTTTAAAGAGATTGGACAGCCATTTGTGTGAAATGGTATAGGGTCTCCTGCTTGAGCAGGGGGTTGGACTAGAAGACCTCCAAGGTCCCTTCCAGCTTTGTTCTGTTATTTCGGGCCTTGCACTCTTTGGGGTGTCCTTTTGGGGAAGTTTTTTCCTGAGGGGGGTGGGGTGTGTGTGAGAAAGGAATTGGTCTTCCCAAGAGCAAGGAAGGGAGCAATGAGCCTTTGGCTGAAGATTCCTGATCCCGAGTTCAAGGTTCCTTCCTTTGTGGGTGGGCTGCTGTTTCTTGGGTGGGCCTTTCTTCTCTTGGGCAACAGGGACCCACTAGAGCAGGTCTCCAAACTTGCCAACTTTAACACTTGTGGGCTTCAACTCCCAGAATTCTCCAGCCAGCATAGCCTCCCCCCCCCCCCTGTGCCATTGTAACTCCGAACTGTCGTTAAAAGAGCTGCTGTTAAGTCACCCCCTCCCACCCCAGCCGTTTGGCATCGGCCAACAAAAGCCACAACCACGTTGGTTTCTTCCAAAAACATCTTTATTTTTTTTTTATTTTTTTTTTCCACCCTTATAACATTCTGCTTCTTCCTCTGTTTTACCCTCCCTTCAACCTTGGAATATTTTTTCCCCTCTTTTTTTTTTCTCTCCCCCTTTTTTAATATTTTTTTTTTTAAAAAAAAAAGCCATTCTGGCAGTTCCTAACAGCCAGCGACCTCCCTCCCAAAAAAAACCCCTCTGGGGTGGTGTTTTTTTCCCCACCCGCCCCCTGCCCCTGGTTCTCTACAGCGTCAGGTTTCGGTGTGTATTTCTTCAGGCTAAAAAATAAAGGAATCTGTAAAGATAAAGACACTCAAACAAGGCATATAACAACCCCGCCCCCAGAAGAGACACACGCATGGAGGAGGAAGGAGGGGTGCGGGAACGCCTACGACCTGTATGGCGGGAGAAGGAAGGAAGGAAGGAAGGAAAGGAGGGAACCCCCGTTTTTTAAAACAGGAATCAGTCTTTTTTTTTTTTTTTTTTTTGAGAACGATGTGTTTGGGTGCAGGACAAAATTCCGTGATTGGAGCGAAAGGGTAAATTGGAGAGTTAAGTGGCAGGGATTTTTGCAACCTCCGGCCAGAACGGGATGGGGCATTTTGAGGATGTCCCCGGGTGGAAACAATAGATCGGGCGAGGGACGTCTGGAAAAGTATCGACGAAGCCGTGAATGCCAGCTTCTTCCTGGCTAGTCTGGGTTGGAGGAAGGAAAGAAGGAAGGAAGGAAGGAAAGAAGAGCAGGGCAAAGCAACGGAAAAGGCAGCGGGAACCAAGCAGGGAAATAAATGCACAGAGGCGCGCAAAGAGACACAATGAAGCGAGGCTGCAGCGGGAGAGAAACAAGAGAATCACAGAACTTCATAGAGGAAGGGGACACCCTCCCCCAGCCGTGGCGCTCTCTCTCCCCCCCCCCCACGTAAATACACAGAGGAAGAATACCCTCCCACCCACCCCCCAAAATCTGCAAAAGGGAAGAAAGGGTGCAGAGGGAAACTCAACAATACTACCAGGTGTTTGAACAACAGCTTGGCTGTCCCACAATTTTTTTTTTTCTTTCTTTCTTTCTTTCTCTCTTCCCTCCCTCCGGTATATGTCAACCCTCTTTCTCTGCACAGCGTACAAAACATCCTCCTCCCACCAACAGTATATATATATATGTATATATATATATAATATATATCTTTTTTTTTTTCATCATGGTAACAATCTTCATTTTTTTTCCTTTTTTTTTTTTTCCTCCTTCCTAAAAAACCACACATTTTTTTGTTTTGTTTTTAGTAAGGGGAATACCATGAGGTCGCTCGGGCCCGGCCCCTGTGAAGAGAAGAAGGAAACAGGTTAATGAAAGAGGTAGTTTTTCTAAAACACATAAAAAATAAAATAAAAATAAGCAGCTTTTATAAACTACAGAGAAGGGCTTATTTTTTTCCCTCCCAAATGTGAAAAACTGAGGACTTCGGCGATTTTGGCAATCTCCGTCCCTGTGGCTTTTCCACACTTTTTTTGTTTTTCATCTTGCTTTGGAGCCTGACATTCTGAAGCCAATTTTAACCTATTCGACTTTCCATTCGAGAACCCGATGAGGTCAAAACAGGGCATTTTGGCTCTCTGAGGTTTCTGAAAAAATTGATCGAGGATGTTTATCAGGTAGTCAAGTAGTCCTCGACGAGCGGCTGCAAAGGGAGCCCAAAATTTCTGTTGTTAAGTCAGATGTTGGTTAAGACAGCGTTGCCCCATTTTATGACTTTTCTTGCCACGGCTGTTAAGTGGATCGCTGCGGTTCTTAAGCTAGTAACACAGTTTTAAGTGATGACTTCCCCACGGATTCTACTTATCAAAAGGTCGTGATTGTGTGACCCCAGGACGCTGCAATGGTCGTAAATGTGAGTCATTTGCCAAGTGTCTGAATTTTGATCGTGTGACCATGGAGATGCTGCTATGGTCGTAAGTATGAAAAAGGGTCAGATGTGTGAGAACTGTCCTAAGTGGCTTTTTTTCAGTGCCATTTTAACTTTTGAAGTCTGTTGTTGAGGACTACCTGAACCTGACAATACGGGTAATCCTCGACTTACAACAGTTCACTTCAAAGTTACAACAGCACTGAAAAAAGCCACTTAGGACCGTTTTTCACACTTATGACCATTGCAGCATCCCCAGGGTCACTTGATCAAAACTCAGATGTTTGGCAACAGATTCTGTTGTGGCCCGCGAGATTGGGAAGGAAGTTGGGCCAGTCCTGGAGTCTGGGGAGGGCTCTGATGGATGCTCTGTGTCGGAAGCAGAGACAGGGCCAGGGCCGCCCTGACATTTCCCAGCTGCCAGGAGATCAGTGGGGAAAAAGAACAGCTGGAGCCTGTCCCAGATGCACGTATGCACAGAGCTGTCAGGAGAGGAGAACAATTAAGGAACGGGCCAACTCAGAAGGGAAGGCACACGTGGAGGCTGAATGGCCCCTCCCTAGGGAATAAATAGAAGCAAAAGGGGAGTGGTGGATGCAGGAGACAATTAGTTCGCTTATTATTATGAAGATTTGCTTCGGCTTTGGAGACTCCTTTTCCAGGGGAAGCTCTCTTGGCCTGGCAACTATCCACGGACTGATAAGGTCTGTTCTTGCACTTAACGGGACTTTTCTGTGTGTGAATGCCACGAATTCACAGTAACTAAATAAATTAGTTAGACAAGGAGTCTGTTTCTTGGTTCTGCTAAGCCCGGGTCAGTGTCCTGTGGGATCACTTTTGCGACCTTCGGACGAGCAAAGTCAATGGGGAAGCCAGTTTCACTTAATAACTGTATGACTAACTTTACAACTGCAGTGATTCACTTAATAACTGTGGCAAGAAAGGTTGTAAAATGGGGCAACACTTAACAAAGGTCTCGTTTAGCAATAGACATTTTGGGACTCAAATGAGGCAGGACTCACTTAACGCACATCTCACATAGCAACGTAAATTTTGGGCTTGACCGTGATCGCACACTGAGGAGTGCCTGTCAATATGAAAGCCAATAGTTTGGAAAATATTGGTGTTTTTTTAGGGCTTTCTCAACAGCCAAGGCTCAGAGAAATGTACAAATTCTCGGATGGCGGGATCGTTGTTCAATCGGCTTTCAAAATCTCTCTTTTTTATCCCATATCTACTAATCTGGCTTGCAGGAGCCCTTTCAGTGAAGAGAACTCTTTCTACCCAAAATCAACTAACCTGCCTTGCAAGCAGGGTTTGATAAAAATTGTTTAAAAAATGTTTTTTTAAAAAGGATTTAAAAAAATAAATTGGATTTTTTTTATTTTTATCTAATTTATTTTAATAAAATGCTTTTGGAATTAAAAAAAATCTATCTAAAGAGTTTTCTGTTTGAGATACATTCCTAATTTAGTTTATTCAGCGTGAAATGGAGCTTAGTTATGTAGCAGAAGGCTGTATATATTCTGCAATACTGGGACTGTCCGTGAGTCTACAGCGGGTTAAAGGCAGCGATGACAGTTGCTCTTTAACAATTATGATTTAAATCGAGTTGATTTAAACCGAACCCACCCTGCTTGTAGGAGCCCTTTCATTGGCCTGTTTCACGTGATCAATGAAGGGATGCCAGGTGTTTTAAGCCTGGGATTGCTACCTAGCCATCTGCAAGCGTGAACCTATGGTAAATCGGCACACACACACACACACACACCCTTTTCCCCAACCTGTGGATCCCTTTAAGGGTCAGACCTGTAAGCACGCCCACGGGGCGGCCTGCTGCTGAAGCCACTGTAGAAACGGGCCCTGGAACTGCTGTAGCCGGATCCTCGCCCTCGGTACCGAGTCCTGGGAAAGCCTCTGTCTGTGCTGCTGATGCCTGGCCGGTTGGTCCGTTTGGGAATCACCTAAAAAGGAAGAGAATTGTGCGGGTCATGCTCGCGGGGGGGGGGCGGGTTAAGGAAAGGATGAGGGGGTGTGAGAATGCCTGATCTTTTCTGCTTGCAACCCTAGGAAAATGCCTTTCCTGAATTCAAGTAGAAGAGACTAATTTGTACTGCGAAGCCCAAACTAGGTAACATCACTGGTGTTAGAAGGGAGTGGGGTTTGCAAGGAGGAGGACTATGGGGTCCTTGGTGCTCTCTGAGCAGGGTGGTTTTCTTGCAGACGTTTCATGACCCAACCAGGTGACATCATCAGGGGTTGAAGAGAGTGGGGTTTGTGGAGTTGAGAACAGGAGAAAAGAAAAAAAGCAGACGACGACGACTATGGTTTCTTGCAGACGTTTCGTGACCCAACTAAGGAACATCATTAGTAGCAGACAGGAGTAGAGTTTGTGAAGTGAAGCAGGAGGAAAGGAAGAGAAGAAAGAGGAGGAGGAGAACGACTGGCGGTTCTTGGTGTTCTTTGAGCTGGGTGGGTTTCTTTTTGCAGACATTTCATCACCCAGCTAAGGAATATCATCAGTATTATGAAGGAATGGGATTTATGGAGTGAAGCAGGAAGAAATGAGAAAGACGAGGAGGAAGAGGAGGATGATTGAGGAGTCCTTGGTGCTCTGAGCTTGGTGATTTTCTTGTAGTTTCATTACCAAACTTGGCAATATCATCAGTGCGTTGAACATCTCTGTGTCCTTCCTCCTTCTCTCTTCACTCCCCAAACCCCACTGCCTGCCAGCATTGATGATATCCCCTAGCTGGGTCACAAAACTTCTGTGAGAAAACCATCAGAGTGTTATTCAGGAGTTGGGCACAAGTGTGTGTGTGTGTGTGTGTGTCTCTCTCTGAAAAGGGCATACCCACCTTGATCTGTCTCCCCCTGAAGAGGGACTCATCAAGTGCTAAGGAAGTCCGTACTGACTCCTTGTCGGAAAATTCAATGTAGGCGAACCTTGAGAAAATGGGCAGAAGGACGACGATTAGAGAGTTCACAGAATTTAGCAGGAGGTTCACTTACAGGTAGTCCTCGATTTACTACCAAACTGGGCCCCAAATGCCTGTTGCTAAGCGAGGCAGGTGCTCGGCGAGTTTTGCCCCATTTTACGACCTTACCACCGTTAAGTTGGCACTATGGCTGTGAAGCGAATCTGATTCCCCCCCCCCCCTTCCCTCCCTTTTGCCGGAGGGCCGCAAAAGGGGTCCCAGGGGGAACCCCCCCCACCCCCCGGTCATAAGTCCCCTTTTTTCAGTGCTGTTGTAACTTCGGTCACTAAACGAAAGAGTGGAGGCCTATCTATATTTTACTGCATCAACTGTGGGAAGCACACCCCAAAGGACAGTGCCAGGAACCACTAAAGCAGTGCCAAAAGACCTAAGCCAGCCCTTCCCCCTTTAAGAAGACCAAGAAATATCAGCTGAAAGGAAAACTCAGAGCAGCCTCCTAAAGGCGGTTACAAAGGTAACATAAGTTGACCACAGAAACACTTAAATAGAGCCATTGAGATAAAGGGAATCAGGCTAAAAATAAACTCTCCAAGGTAAATCAAAACTCCCTTTTTTTCCTGCCCTGACCAGGATTAAACCCGAAGGACAGGAAAAATAAAAAGACTTGGGACCAAGATTAACCCAGTAAAACAAAACCCAGGACAATCAGAAACACATGAAAACCCATCAAGCTGCAGGAGCTTCAAAGGGGAATTAAGCATAAAAGGCTCAGATTCACACTCCCAAAGTGCTTGCAAGCCAGGAATGCTGGAGCTGTGTTTTGCTTCTTGCCTTCCTACATTAAAAAGAATTCTACTTTCTGGCAGCTGGCCTCTGCATCCATTTCTTCTCAGCGCCTGTGGTGTGTGCCAGCTGGGAACGAACCATGGAAATTTCTTCCAACACAACTCTTGAGTTTTAAGGAAGCTTTCAAGCCATAAGACAAATTCCACACACAAACACACAAGAAAAACTCAACTCACCCCTTGGGATGGCCCGTGTATTTGTCACACAGGATGGTCACACGGTTGACAGAACCACAGCCGTGGAAATGGGCTTCCAATTCTTCTGCCGTGGCCCCGTAATCTACCTGAAATGGAAGATGGGTCCAGTTCAGTGGGAAGGATGCTGGTTTTGTCCTCACTTGAAGAAAACTAGGATTTTTTGTGGGGGGGGGGGGGGGGGAGAAACTCACATTTCCTACATATATAGATCTGGCATCGGCTTCCATCTTTTCTTCTAAAGACATGATGACTGGGCCAGCTAGAGAGAGACAGAGAGAGAGAGAGAAAAGAGAGGCAGAATTATGAAATAATGTGGAAGGGAAATTGTCTATGGAGATTCTGTCATCCAGGTCATACTCAAAGGTGCTTCTTCCAAGAGGCAACTGGACTTCCTGGACTTTTTTTTCCAAAGACGTTTCGCTTCTCCTCCAAGAAGCTTCTTCAGCTCTCACTGGATGGTGGGGCAGGAGGATTTATACTCCTTGCAGACAGCTGGACATTTGCATCCTTTTAGCGGGTACTTAAAAGTCACTTAAAGGCTTATCTGTGTCATCGGGGTCACCTGAGTGGTGCAAATGGGTGTGGAGCCTTTTTTGGAACTGTTGAAAGGACTGTGTTGCAGATAAGATAGATGATGTCGTAACCCTCCCGCTCTGTTGAGAGGGCTGTCCAATTTTGACCTAGAATCATAGATGGCGTCTTTGATCCCTCTTTCAAACCAGTGGTTCTCTTTATCCAAAATGGAGACTTTGCTGTCTTCCAAACAGCAATCTTTGTCTTCTAAACTCAGGTAGATTGTTGGATCTATACCTGATGGGTTTTTGTTCTCCTAGGTTGTGCCATGCGGTTAGGAAGTGATTGTTTTGTTTCCCCAAAGTCCAGATCTGCACATGGCTCGCTGCATGGTACTGCATAGACCACATTGCTCAGTTTGTGTCTGGGTGTTTTATTCTTGGGGTGACAAGCTTCTGATGACTCCCATTAGGTGCTCCAGTGGTGGTTGGTGGGAATCCAAATATATTGATCTGTGCGCGAGTGGGTTTTCTGTAAACTTGAACGTTAAGCCTTCTGTCTTCCTTAAAATGTACTGGACAATCCAGGAAGGACAGACTATTTTCCTTAGCATCTTCCCGTGTGAATTTGATGAAAGTGAGCAATGCAGTATATGCAGGGAACCATGTGCAGATCTGGAGATTGGGGAAACACTTCATAACCGCATGGCACAACCTAAGAGAACAAACCTAGCAGGCCTAGATTCAGCAGTCCAGCTGAGTTTAAAAGAAAAAGGCCGCTCTTTTGAAGACAGCGAAGTCTCCATTTTGGGCAAAGAAAACCACTGGTTTGAAAGAGGGGTCAAAGAGGCCATCTAAGTCAAAATTGGACATTCCTCTCTCAACAGAGGGGAGGGATATGACATCACCTACCTCCAATCTACAACACAATCCTTTCAAGAGTTCCAAGGAGGATCCACTCATTTGCACCACTCAGGTGACTGATAAACATAGATAAACCTCCAGGTGGCTTTAAGGACTTGCTAAAAGGATGCAAATGAAAATTAGCAGCTGTCTGCAAAAAGTGTAAATCTTTCCATTCTCCATCATCCAATCAGAGCTGAAGAAGCTTCTTGGAGGAGAAAGGAAGGATAAGTCATAAAAAACAACAACATGGAAGTCCAGTTGCCTCTTGGGAAAAGCACCTTTGGGACAACCATGACCTGGATAACTGAGGAATTGCCATAGATGTCCAGGTCATAGTTTCCTCAAAGGTGCTTTTTCAAAAAAACAACTGGAGTGTTTTTTTCTTGAGAAAGAAATTGCCAAAAAAGCCCAAACAGTTCCAGCCTGCATGAACAGAGGGATAGAATCAAGATCACGTGAAGTGTTAGGACCACTTTATAATGCCTTGGCAAGGCCACCCTTGGAATACTGCATCCAGCTTTGGTCACCATGATATAAAAAAGGTGCTGAGACTCTGGAAAGAGTGCAGAGAAGACCAACGAAGAGGATTAGGGGGCTGGAGGCTGAAGCATATGAAGAACAGTTGCTGGAATTGGGTGTGTCTGGTTTAATGGAAAGAAGGACTTAGGGGGTGACATGATAGCAGTCTTCCAATATCTCGGGGGCTGCCACAAAGAAGAGGGAGTCAAGCTGGTTTTTCAAAGCACCTGAAGGCAGGACAAGAAGCAACCGGTGGAAACTAACCAAGGAGAGAAGCAACCTGGAACTAAGGATAATTTTTCTGACAGTTAGAACCATTAATCAGTGGAACAGCTTGCCTCCTGAAGTTGTGGAGACTCCAACACTGGAAGTTTTTAAGAAGAGATTGGACAACGATTTGTCTGAAATGGAATAGGATTTCCTGCCTGAGCAAGTGGTTGGACTGGAAGACCTCCAAAGGTCCCTTCCAACTCTGCTATTCTGCAAGAAGGCATTTTGCTTCTCGTCCCAGAAGTTTCATCAATGAATCTTCTTGGATGAGAAGCAGAATGTTTTCTTCTTAAGAAAAAGCAGTCCGTTTGCCATTTTAAAAAAGGAACTCTTGATTGTTGGGAGAATTTTTCCTGCCTCCTGGTCCTCGGGAACAGCCTTAGATAAAGGATGACGGTTAGGGCTTTTAGGGTTATCTATCTATCCTGACTCCAAAGGTAGCAATTCTACCGAATATCCAAGTCAACAACAGAATGGATTTTCCACCGTTTCAGGGTCCGGATTCCCTAGTCAATTTAACACAATTTTTGACTAATTTTCAATACAGTACGTGTTTCTACTTTACAGGAATTAAACAAACACGTGATGATCACAAGGCAATGGGTCTTTCCGTGTTCCCAGCAGGCAAAATGTCATTTAACATCACCCTGCCAGGCTGTTCTCCGAGCTTAAGAGAGCAAAGATATGACTCAGTTAACTCAGTGAGGGACAATCTAGAGATTTGGAGGGAGGAGGGCTTGTAAGTGTATATACACAAACACACAAGCACGGACCCACTCATAGATATGCACAAGGTGTACCAGAACTAAGGCCCCATTATTTGATTATGTGCTTATATTAGGCATTTGAAAGTGGAAGCCACTTCCTTCTAAACACTTCCTTAATGCTTTGTCCAATTTATGGTCTGTGAACCTTTCTAAGTACAATTGCCTTTTCTCTGAGAATTTTTTTTAAAAAACCTATTGTGATTGGCCTATGGGACCTGAGTTTCCATATACCCTGTGCACAAAGACACATATATTTTATTTATCTGTATCCTGCTTTTAGTATTTTTTTTACAAATAATTCAAGAAGGTGAACATATTCAACATATCTTCCTCCTATTTTCCCCATAACATCCACCCTGTGAGGTGGGTTTGGCTGAGAGACAGGGACAGACCAGCCAGCCTGCTTTCGTGCCTGAGATGGGACTAGAACTCACCGTCACCTGGTGACTGGCCCCAAATCACCCAGTCTTTTGTGCCTGAGGCAAACTAGAACTCACCATCTCCTGGTGATTGGCCCAGCCATCTTTTATGCTGAGATTGGACTAGAACTCACCATCTCCTGGTGATTGGGTCAAAGTTACCAGCCGGCTTCCATGACTAAGATAGGACTATAACTCAGTTTCCCACTTTCTCACCTAATGCCTTAACCAGTAGACCAAGAGGCTGTTGTCATATATACTCATGGATACAAACACAAACCCATATATGATATTGTGTGTGAATGTGTCTACAATCCTTAATAGTTAAACGGCTCTCCTGAGTGAGAAGATGGCTGAAATTCAGAAAGCAAGAGATTTCTAAGAAGGGGGAGGGGTCTCACCGTTGCCGGGTGGGGGGCTCATGTTCATCTGTTTCTCAACTTCATTCTGCAACTCTTTCAACTTCTCGGCTTCCTCCTCCATCTCTCGTACCCTGGCTTTAATGGCTTCCAGCTCCTGGGGAGGAATGAGCAAGAAGCCATGAGCAAAAAATAAAAATGTCCTTTTTGAGTTGTTCCCACCCAAAGGCTCCTTCTGAAAAAGTATAGGGAGCCCTTGACTTATGACAACGAAGCCAAAATTTATTGTTGCTGAGTGAGATATTGGTTCGAGTTTGGTCCCAGGTTACGACCTTCCTTGCCACCATTGTTAAGTGAATCTGTGCAGTTATTTTGTGGGTCACACGGTTGTTCGGTGAATCTGGTTTTCCCCATTGACTTGGCTCATCAGAAAGTTGTAATGGGGGGGGGGGGGTCGCGCGAGATGTCACATCTGTCATAAATGCGAATCAATTGCCAAGGGTCTGAATTTTGATCACGTGACCACGAGGATGCTGGAATGCTCCGTTAAGTGTGAAACATGGTCCCAAATCACATTTTTCAGTGCCTTTGTGACTTTGAATGGTCACTAAATGAACTGCTCTAAGTCGAAGGCCACCTGTACCCATTCTACAATGAAATCACAGGTAGTCCTCGACATACAACCATTCCTTTAGTGACATTTGATATAACACCACTGGGGGGAAAAATGAACTACAACCAGTTCTCATGCTTACGGCTAGGGCAGCATCTCCACGGTGACGTGGATCAAAATTTGGGGGACTTGTCCTGAGGGGGTATCACACAGCCACACCATTTGTGATCTTTCTGGACGGCTTCCAACTAGCAGAATCAACCGGAGGGGAGAAGCTGGATTTGTTTAACAACCCTATGATTCCCTTAACAACCATGGCAAGGTCAGTTGTAAAATCAGGCAAACAGTGCCTCACTTAGCAATGGAAATTCTGGACCTCAATTGTGGTTGTAATTCAAGGACCAACTGCCCTGCCAACTAGGATCCAATCATGGATAATACAGGTAACCCCTCACATTACAACAGTCCGTTCAGTGACCGTTCAAAGTTACGACAGCACTGAAGTGACATGACCATTTTTCACACTTACTACCCCACAGTCACGTGATCAAAATCCAGGTGCTTGGCAACTGACTCCCATTTATGGCTGTCGCTGCGTCCCGGGGTCACACAGTGGTCCCTCTTTTGCGACCTTCGGATAAGCCAAGTCAACAGGGGAAGCCAGACTCGCTTAGCGACTGTTTTACTAACTCAAAAACTGCAGTGATTCCCTTAACCCCGCTGTGGCAAAAAAGGTGTTAACAGGAGGCAAAATTCACTTCACCGGCATCTTGCTTAGCAACCAAGTTTCGGGGTTTAATTGGGGACATAAATCAAGGATTACTTGTACACCACTCCAAACAACTGCCCATCACCCTTGCTTTTTCTTTAGCATCAGAGCGTGTTTATAATAGTAATATAGGAAATACTCTAAATGCTCCGACGGTCATCTCGAAAAATCCTTTCTTAGGGAGCCCCTAGAAGCCAAGAGGAACATATGTGCCAAATGTCAACTTTGTAGGCTTTATGGTTCTGGAGATTTTGTGATGATGCATGAGAGATCTTTTGCTTTTATATATATATATAGATATCTTACAACCCCCTACAAACGCCCGGCTCCATCTGGGCTGCCCCCCCCCCCCCCCCCCCCCCCCCCCCCCCCCGGGCGCCCCCCCCCCCCCCAAGCCGTTGTTCCAGACGGTGGAAGCCCCTTCGGCCTTTAAAGAAAGGAGGGTCTTTTTCTCCAGGCTGGCCCAAATAGTGGGAGGCTCCCATCCTCCGCTAAACGCCCTTTGTTCCCACGCTGAAAAGTAATGGAGGCTCTTTCTGCTCTGGAGCTCTACTGTCCTATCAAAGCATCCCGCTTAGGGACCTTTTCCAGGCAGCCATGTGCCTCCCAGACCCCTCCCCAATCCCTCCAGGATTTCCCTGCGCAGAAGCCCCCCCCCCTCTTTTCAATCCTCTCCCCCCACCCAATCTCTCATTAAGCCCCATGGCTCAATCTCATGTTTCTTCCTCCCTAGCAAACAGACGCCCTTCCCTTCCTATCCCCTTTCCTTTTTTTCCCAAAATGCGCCAAAAAAAAAAAAATTGCTCTTCCGCCTGATCAGCTTCTCTGACTATGAAGCAACTGGGCGCTAGTTCCCCCCCCCCCCCCCCCCAAAAAAATGCATTAAAAAAAAAAAAGAGAGGCGCTTCCATCTCTCTTATTGTTCTCCAGCCAGGCATGCGGGGTGAAGAGACAGACAGATCCGGGTCAAAGAGAGGAGGAAGAGGATTTTTTAAAAATTCTCCCCTTCCTTTCCTTCCTCTCTCTTATTCCCATCTCCTTCCTTCCTCTTTAATTTTTCTTCTTTTGAAAAGAAATCTCTTCCTTCAATGTTCCCTTTTTAAATTCTTTCCTTCCTCCCTTCGTCTTATTCCCATCTACTGCCTTCCTTCTTCGCACTCACCCTTTAATTTTTCCTCTTTTTAAAAATTCCCTCTTTCATTCCTCTCCTTTAATTTTTCCTCTCTTGTTCCCATCTCCCTCCTTAAGAATTCTCTTCCTCTTTAATGTTACCTTTTTTAAATCCTTTCCTTCCTCTTTTTATTCTCATCCCCTTCCTTCCTATTTCATTTTTCCTTTTTAAATTCTTTCCTTCCTTCCATTCCCATCTACATCCTTTCCTTCTTCCCAACCCCCCATTTTATTTTTTTTCCTTTTTAAGAATTCTCTTTCCTTCCTCTTCCATTTTTCCTATCTCCTTTCTTCCTCCCACTCTTTATTTTTCCTTTTTAAAAATTATTTTCTTCTTTCTTACCATTTTCCCGTTTAAATTCTTTCCTTCCTCCCTTTCTTATCCCCATCTTTTTTTCCTTCCACTCTAATTTTCCTTTTTTAAAAATTATTTCCTTCCTCCCTTCTTATTCTCATCTTTCCTTCCTTCCACTAATTTTCCTTTTTTTTAAATCCTTTCCTTCCTCCTGCTTATTCCATCTCCTTCCTTCCTTTTATATTTCCTCTTTTTTCATTTTTTTCCTTCCTCCCTTCCACTTATCCCGGTCTCCTTCCTCCAGATCTCCCTCTTTAATTTTTCCGCTTTTTAAAAATTATTCCGTCCTCTCCCCTTCATCCACCCACCCACAAAGCCCCCGACCCATCTCCCCCACGCCCGCGTGTGTGTGTGTGTGTGTGGTGTGTGTGTGTGTGTGTGTGTCAGAGACGGGGGGGGGTGGGAGGGAGAAAATGCTCACCGGGTCCTCGATGGCGGAGTCGCCGGGGTCGCCCTCGCCCAGGCCGGCCTCCTCCTCCAGCTCCTCGGGGTGAGGGTGGTGGTGGGGGGCGCCCACGCCGGCCTGGCCGACCCGGGAAGGCAGCGAGGAGGAGGAGGAGGACGAGAGGGCGCCCCTGGGTCCGCCGCCGCCGCCTCTGCTCCCGCCGCCGCCGCCCGCCGTCTCGATCAGCATCTCCTCCTCCTCCTCCTCCACGCGGAGCCCCCCGCCCTGCTCCCCCCCGGGGCCGCTTCCCCCCAGCCCGTTCCCGTACTGCGACGGCAGGCCCCCGCCCGGGCCCCCGCCCGGCTCCCCGTCGCCCCCCAAGGCCGCGATGGCGCCTCGCCCGCCGCTGCCGCTCGTGCCCTTCACGGACGCCATAGAGCCCGCCGCTGCCGTCGCCGCTACCGCCGCCGCCGCCACCACCACTGGCTGCCCGCCTTCACAGTCGCGCTCGGATTGGCTACCCCGTCTCGCACCCGCTCCTATTGGCTCGCTCCGACGCTCTCTATTGGGCCTCTGCCTCGCGCCCTCAGCCCGGGCTCCTCGTTTGGCCCAGCGCAGTCGTCAATCAAGAGGCGTCCGTCGGCGATTGGAAAAAAGGTTGGCCTCTTCGACCCGCCTTCAAAATGGTGGCTGGGAGCCGAAGGGGTTTTTTTTTTTTATTCTTTGGGACCCCGCCCCCAAAGCGTTGCTGCTTGCTGATTGGGACGGCGGAAAGGTTTCCCCCCACCACCACCACTTTTCTTTGCTCCGGGTGCGGAGCTGAATGGAGGAGGTCGGTGTCAGTCTGTTAGGCCCCAGTGGGAAAGGATTGACGAGCACAAAAAGAAAGGAGGGGGAGGTTGAAGCAAGGGAGGTGGACTTTGCCCGCCTTTTCCTCGCCAATCTTAATCCTCGATGCGTGATTGGTCGTTTGACATGGGTTTTTTTTTTTAAAGGTAAATCAGCCGTTTATTGGCGGAAAAGTAATGTGTCAATCCTATCCGCTTATGTTTTCATTGGGCTTCCCAGGCCGCCTTTAGCCAATCAGCCAAAAAATCACGTTGCATAAGTGGGTGACGTTATGCAAATCTGGCACGCGGTTTTATCCATTGGGAGGAACGGCATTCCTCTTTTTCTATTGTAATTGGTTTAATTTTTTTTTTGTTCCGCCCTTCGTTTTCCATACCAAGATGGGGAAGCTGATATTTCTGATTGGCTCCTAAAGGTTTAACGGCTCTTTTGGCCCCACCCTGCGCGTTGCTCAAAGGGCTACAGTGTTAATAGCCTCCGCAGTACAACTTCCGGTATCTTTTCGGAGTTTTGGGGTGGGGGGGAGGAAATAGGCCTTAATAGCAATAGCAGTTAGATTTATATACCGCTTTGCAGGGTTTTACAGCCCTCTCTAAAAAAATTGGTGGCAAAGGTAGTAAAATAAGGATCATCAAGTAATTCAGGCAAAGCACACAAAAAAAGTATTTACAGGTAGTCCCTGACTTAGAACCACAAAGGCCAACATTTCTATTGTTAAGTGAAACACAAGGGGAGTTTCTGTCTTTCCTTGCCATAGTTGTTAAGTGAATCAGGCTTCCCAATGGACTTTGCTTGTCAGAAGGTCATAAAAGGGGGCCATGTAACCCCCAGGACATTGCGGCCATCATAAATATGAGTCAGTGAGTTTGCCAAGAGTTTGAATTTTTATCATGAGACCATGGGGATGTTTCAATGGTCATAAGTGTGAAAAACGGTCATCGCACCCTTTTTTTAGTGACGTTGTAGCTTTTAACAGTCGCTAAGTGAACTGTATTATCCCGGGACACGTATATTTGCCTTCATGACCCAAGACGCTGTGACCGTCTCAAATACGAAGCAGTTCCCCCGCATCCAAATTTTGATCATGTGACCACAGAGATGCTGCAACAGTCATTAAGTATGAAAAATGGCCATAGATCGCTTTTTTTCCCCAATCCCGTTGTGACGTTGAATGGTCACTAAATGAAATGTTGTAAGTTCGAGGACTGCCTGCATTGAGTGGTGCCAAGTCCTTTTATAGGATATGACAATTTTTTAAAAAAATTGTTAAGGCGCTAATAACACATCGGAATTATTATTTAAAAATGCAACAACAACAAAAATTTAAAAAATAAAAGAATTGAACAATTAAAAAACACACGTGTAGGCTTAAAATGATAGATAAAATACTTATTGTAATGTAATGTAATTTGTTAATAACTAAATGAAATAAAGAGAATGAGAGAATGAAATTAGGAAAGGATGGGAACATTTTAATTATTATTCATGATTTATAAAAATTTAAGTGAAGAGAAACCTGAAAGAAATATGAAAAAATTATGGAAATATTATAAGTGTTCCTAAGGAAGTATGATATTCAAATGAAAAGAAATGTTAAAGATGTTAAAGATTGTAATTATAACATCAATGATAGAGCTGAATTGGAATAGAATAAGTATTTTATTTACTATCGTTATATATATTTTTTTCTCTTTAAGAACATGTACCAAGCAGAATTCGATTGGAAGTTATGTATTATATTGAATGTTATAATTGTAAAGGCATAAATTGAAGTTTTAAATAAGAGTTGAATGGACAAAATTAAAAGATACAAAGGTGTCATACTCCAATCAGTATCTACAGGGGAAAATTTGTTTAATGAGAAAAGAAAATATGAAATTGAAACAGGACAGACAAAAGTATAAATATAATGATTAGAAAGACATTGAAACTTAGAAAAAGATGTATCATTGAATTTAGATAGATATGAGATAATTAAAAACAAGGTTGAGAAAACCAAGGGAGGGGAAAAATTATGGAGAAAATGTTAAAATAGTAATAAGATATGGAATAGAACACAAATACGAACATGAAATTGAGTTTGTGTCTGTATAGAGAAGTGATAACCTGGGATCATGCTATTCTCAAAACAAGATATTTTATTTGTATTATGTTTTGTGAAAACCCAAATAAATTTTTTACAAAAAGAAAAAAGAAAAAACCACCGGTAGGAAGAATCCTAAGAAGAACCCTCCCCTCTTTATTTCCATGTCCCTCAGAGAAGGCAAAGAAAAAACATGCATAGAGAAGAAGCAAAGCAATCCCTGCCTCCCAGCCTGGATGGCCTCAAGTAACCCCAATTTGAAGACTGGAAGAAAAGGCTGAATTGACAGGATTAAGGATTTGAGTCAGAAAAACACAAAGACTCAAAGAATCTCCATTTCCCCAGGGCTAGCCTTGACCCTGCACCACCACCCAGGAAAGGGGTGGGAAATACAGATTAGACTAGGTTAGAACACAGCATCTCATCTGTGGGAATTTATTGTTTTGATAGAATTGTAAGAAGACATGCATGTTGGCCTGGGAAGAAACTACATTGTATGTATTTCTAATCTCATGAGCCAGGCTGAAGCTTGAGAATTGTGTGTAGGAAGGCCTCTGCTATGCTAAAAACCGGCCTTAAACCAGAATTTGCTGATATGATAGTTACTCTAGAGGCAACCCTTAGGAAATAGGACCATAAAAGGGAACTCGTAAATAAGGGCAGGGAGGTGATAGAATTAGAGTGGTGGGAGATGTAATCAGGAGATAATTTATTTTTTTATTTATTTAGTTTAGTTTGTCAAGCATGTATGAGGAAACTATAGGTGTGAACATAACATATAAACGTGTATTCATTTTATATACATATAAAATGTATTCATTTTAGACGCTTTGGATAGGTAGTGGTGACATGAATACTAAGCCAATAAAGAAAAGGTGGGATGTAAATTTGTAATATTTATTTGTAAATTTATAAAATGTGCAAGAGAATATAAGGCATACATATTGATGGTTAGGTGTGCCCACTGTGTGTGTGAAGTAAATAAAAGTACCACTGTTTTCTATTGGAAGTTTTGGCTGGTAATTGTTTACTTCGAAACTAGACCACGAATCCCACATAATCTAATCAAAATAATCTGATCAAATAACCCCATCTCAATTTCAAAGTTCCAAAAGGGTATAAAAATTCCTCTATACTCCCCATGCCAGCCTCTCTAGGCTGTCCCAGAAGCCATGCTGAGTCACTTCGCGTCCCATTCCTAAACATAGGTAGTCCTCGACTTACAACAGTTCATTTAGTGACCATTCAAACTTACAACGGCACAGAAAATGTTCTTTCTGTGCCAACTCAGAAAGCTCAAACTGCCCAAGGAGTTGCTGGTGCAGTTCTACAGAGGAATTATTGAGTCTGTCATCTGCACCTCTATAACTGTCTGGTTCTGCAACCCAACAAGACAGACACAGATTTCAGACAGTATGGATTATCTTGTATTGTGAATACCTCCTGCGGGATGAACATACTCTACAGCAATTGTGAGCTTGTGAAGATTGGACTACAAAGCAAACAAGAGATAACAGCTAAGTTTGTTTGGAAACATAACATACCGTCAGAGATTGCAAGGCTCCCCGGCTCGGCTCTCTCCGTGGATTGGGGCTCCGGTGAGAGAGAGGGTGAGAAGGAGAAGAAGACGAAGGGAGAGGGGGAAGAAAAGAGGCTGCAGGGCTGGTGTTTTATACAGGCTGCAAAAACAAACGAAGCGGCTGCCGCTCCCAAGTCTCTCATTAATGCTAGATCTGTGGCAAACAAGATGGATGATTTAAGGTTACAGGTCTCTTCGAGTAAGTTCGAGTAAGTTCGTGAAAAGCTGTTGTGTGTTGTTAATCACCGAAACCTGGTTGAACCCAACTATCCCGGACATTGTTATTGAGATGGACGTTTTTTTATTACATCGTCTGGATAGAGACAGAAATGTGGGGAAGTGCAGAGGAGGTGGAGTGTGTATGTTTGTTAAAGAGACTTGGTGTACAAACTCAGAGGTTATAACACGTCACTGCTCTTTGGAGCTGGAATATCTGTCTGTTAGATGCAGACCCTTCTATCTTCCACGGGAATTTAGCATTGTTATTATTCTTGCTGTTTACATTCCGCCGGATGCAAATGTAGATTTGGCTCTGGGCTTCCTGGGTGATGAAATTGGCAACTTGCAAAGCAAATTTCCAGATGCTGTATACATTATTGCGGGAGATTTTAATCATGTAGATCTTCGTGTCGTCCTCCCTAAATTCTATCAACATATAAGGTGTGCCACTAGGGGGTCGAACACCTTGGATAAGGTCTACACGA